ACACCTCCATTTCGTGAAATGAGGCATATCTTGAACTATGATTCTGGTCCACTCAGTAAACCTAGCCTGGCCATATCAGAAAGACGTTTACTTCCTAAACTCACCAAAGCGCAAATGTCTGGTTGATTTTGCATCGTTCATAGTTTTTCATAATTTCCTCTTTCTCCCCCTCTTGGCTTTGTCTCTGGGCAGGTCATATATCTGAGTCTGCAATGCAGCTTGATGTGATGCTTCTCAGTTTGGGGATAATATGAGATCTGAGCCTCAGCTATGCTGAGGTGACCCATTGCTTATGTATTGGGCTGCTAACGGCAAGGTCAGCAGTTCAAAACCACCAGGCACCCTGATGGAGAAAGATGGGACTTTATACACCCTTGAAGAGTTACAATCTATATCAATAATGGTTGTACAACACAAAGAGCATAATCAATGGCATTAAACTATACAGTTGAAGTTGTGGAATTGGAGAATCCTCTGTTGTGTATCTTTTTGCCACAGGAAAAAGTAATAATCACATGAATAACAATGACCACAATGAAGAAGAAAGTATGCAAGAATTGAATATGATGATAATTGTACAACTCTTCTTGATATGATTAAATTATTGAATTGTGTGGCATGTGGATGAAGTGCTAATAAAGCTGTTTTCTTTTAAAAAAAGTTGCAATCTTGGAAACCCACAGGGGCAGTTCTGCCCTGTTCTAGAGAAGTCACTATGAGATGGCATGAACTTGATGGCAGTGAGTTTCGTGTTTTGTTTTGTTGAGACCTGAGTTCTCCTCTAGTAAAATGGGGCTAACCATGGAACCTGCCTTGTCGTGTGGATTCAGTGGGGCAACACATGAAAGCATTCAACGCCAAGGCTGGCATAAAACTAAACAGCCCTCTCCTGTGAGGTAGCTCTAGAGCACTGGCCGTGCTGTTGGGCTGTGAACTGCAAAGTTTGTGGTTCAAACCTACCAGCTTCTATGAGGGAGAAATATGAGGCTCTCTGCTCCTGTAAAAGATGACAGCTTTTGAAACCAGATACAGGGTCAAATTGGCTCGATGAGAGTGAGTCTGAGTGAGTCATGAGATAGCAAATGCTGTCATTATCTACATATGTGCCAACTGACTTAGTCCACCCTACAGAATAGCAGAAGGGGGGTGGGGGGAGTGGGAGTGAGGGACCTGACTGACATAAACTTTCTAGGAAACAATCATCTGTGTAATTCGCTCAGCCTTTATTTAAAAGAAAACCCCATGTTTGACATTTTTAATTTACACAAAGGT